CCTCTTCTCTCTCTCTCCTCTCCTCTCCTTCCTATCTATCTCCTCATCTCCGGTCTTTTTTTCCTTCTCTATTCTCCTGATATCTCTCCCTCCATCTCGCTCTCCTCTTCCCTTTCCACCTGACTATCTCTCTCGTCTTCCTTTTATCCCTCTCTCCTTCTCTCTCTCCCTTCTTCCACCTGACTATCTATCTCTGTCTTCCTTTTATCCCTCTCTCCTTCTCTCCATCCCTCTCTTCCTTCTCTTTCTGGTTCTTGAATCATTTGCAGACCACCCTCTCTCTTTCTCCCTCCTCTGCCTCTCTTCCCCCCCCCCCCCCCCCCACCCATGACTCACACCCAAGGGAATCCCTTCATTAGCAGAGTGATTGATTGTGCTTTTCATTTTCACTAAATGTCTTGTTCCGCTAACAAATATAATGGCCTTTTCTGTTGTATACTAGTTTTGTATAACGATCTAATTCTCATTATCTGATGCACACACCTATAGTATTAATAACTCCTAGGGTGTTATTAATTCATTATGATTCAGTTTCCATTTGTGCAATCATATATCAGCTTAGACTATCGATCTGGAGAGAGAGAGAGAGAGAGAGAGAGAGAGAGAGAGAGAGCGGAAGAATGCTGTGCTCCTGTATTACCTATGGAGGGAGCTCTCCTCTCTGCAGAAAACAAAATATCCCTTTATCTTTCTCTTTCTCTGCCCTTTTTTCCAATGACCTCATTCGGAAGGATATAAAATGAAACGATGCAAGATAAAGAAATATGTATAGATGAAATATATACCACACACACATAAACAGTCCAATGGATAGGATGATCAGATAATGTATTGATTTAAATGTGGTAGGTAGCCAACTCCCTTAGGGATAGAACACAGCAGCTTCTCTCCATCATCTCTCTCTTTCTTTCTTGCTCTCTCTCGTTCTCTTTCACACACTCATCTGCATATGTACTAATGAGGCCCTCTGGCAGAGACCGAGAGAGAGACGGAGAGAGAGAGAGAGAGAGAGCCACATGAGAGGAGAGAAAGAGTGAGAGAGTGAGAGTGATAGAGAGCATGAGATTGTGTGTGTGTGTGAGAGAGAGAGAGAGAGAGAGAGAGAGAGAGAGATGAGAGAGAGGAGAGAGAGAGAGAGAGAGAGAGAGAGCAGAGAGAGAGAGATAGAAGAGATAGTTTTTAAACGTTCACTCCACTCCTTTCACGACATGGACAGGGCAGAGAGTGTTTTTAAACCGTTCACTCCACTCCTATTCACGACATGGACAGGGGAGGGAGTTTGGGAGGGGGGGGGGCTTTCCTTTTGAAGATAAGGGGAAAGGCTTTTTTAAATATCGAGATGAAGAGAAAGGATGAATTTTTATGTAAATGTTGTCAGGAAGCTTTGATTTATTCATGGACCTCAACAGCAGTTGACCTGGATAAAAACATCAGCACAAAGACAGCAAGCTTTTTTATTTCCATTCCTCACTGTGCAATGTGTCTGCATGCAGCCTTGTATGAGTGTGTGTGCGTGCACTAAAATCACTAAGTAGATTTAGATTGATTTAACTCAGTCAAAAACGTGTGACCCCACATGAACCCCCTTTCTGCTTGAAGTTCTATGGTGAACCATATGTGTAGCATTATGTACGTGTGGCAATAGAGCATTTGGGACAGCCAGTGTGCTGGTTGGACACTTGTATTCGTTCATATTACACCATGTTATGGGATGCCATGCACCAGGTCTGACCATATCTACAGTATGTACTGTACTGTGAAAAGACATATGATGCCTGTTGGTAAATAGGCTGAGGTACCATAGCTCTATAGACCTACAGAGTAACTGGAGATGATTGAATGAGATAGATTTCATGCAACCTGCACCTTACTGTGTTACAGCAGAGGATGATTAGATGCGCAGCAGCAAGTCAACTCCTGGACTGCTTGTTACAAGCGCCTACTTTTTCTGAACACTCTGGCGCCCTCAAGCGGTCAAATCCCAGCTTCACTTGATTTTTCTGCATCCTCATCCTTTGCTGTAGGCTGAAGTTGGAGCTCTCCTGGAGGTATTTAGCCTTTTTGAATGTCATCAGATTTGAAAAGGCTATTCCTTCTGAATTTTGGAAAGTAAATTGTGTTTTGGTATAATATTAATGTCAAGGGCTTGTAACTGTCACCGAGAATCACATCGAATTCTCATTCTTCAGTGAGTCTGTGTTCGAAAAAACCGTCTCACACAACGTGCCTGCAGGAAACCCACCGAATCTACCCGCAGAGGCAACCACCTGACCTGGGCTCGGTAGGCCTTTAATCTATCAAACTGAAAACATGGGCGGGTGTAGAGTTCAGAGCACTCCGGCGGGCTCCTGTATCTCTCCTGTGAATCGACGCTGGTTCATGCATTTTTAAAACTTTAATTCTGCCACCGACGCCTATTCAGATTCAAGAAAGCGCCCCACTAAGCTCAACGTGATTGAAAATGTGCCAACCTGTTTGCCTTGAATTAATGGTTTTGACGAGATTATTTAATTGCAGGGAGAGACCAACTGTAGATGGCTCTGTAGAGTTTCAATTCCTTTATTGAAATATAACAACAACCCTTGGAAAGCCACATTGACATTTCTGAAATAACCTGCCACAGTGGATAACCTGCTCCTATGAAGGAGGTATTCTCACGTTTGGGTTAAAAATATTTTGTAAATTAAAACTTGATTTAAACCAGAATGAAGACCCATTGAGATCACGCATCTGTTTCAAGGGGGACTTTTCCAGACTTGTCCCTTTTTCAGACAGCAGGTGAAGAAAGACACTCTTCTCCCGGGGATGACGATGACTCACTGCTATCTCCGTTTAAATTGTTTATGACCTGGTTAAACATAGGCTAGCTTACAGTTTGGTTAACATTAAGAGGAAAATACCAGTTAGTGTTGAGATAGTTTCACTATGGATAATTTATAGGCTGCTCCTCAACTCAAGGGTCATGTTTTCTCACAGCGCAACCGCAGACAGCATGCGATTGGTTGGAACTAAAGGCGGCGGTCGCTGCCCATGCTGCTGAAATCAGACATGTGGCTTGCGCCGGTCAGACAATTCAGCTGACCAAAAGTATAAACTTTCCCTCGATTTTACAGCCCATCGATTCGTTTAATTGTATTCTAGATACTATAACACTGACTGTTTTGTCATTTTGATTTAAGTTTTAATACCGTCTTTTGTGGATTGTGTCGCAATGATTGTGTTGGGGGATATAACACTTCTCCATACTGTCCCGTGTTTTTGAACATGACTAAATGCAGACAGTAGGAGTGACACTGACTGTGATCTCTTTACATGTGCACGTTATATTTATAGGCCTGTACTAAATAACATTTAATTGCTAATTAAACCTTTTTGGGACATTCTCCACTTGACAATGTGCTGGGTCTCTATCTTTCATCTGATCAAGGTAAACATCAGATGAGGTGTAAACATTCTCAACGTTGCCTGTACAGTTACATGTCTGCTTCTCCGGCTCGGTGTCTGCTTCTTGCATAATGTGGTCCTCTGTAGCTCAGCTGGTAGAGCACGGCGCTTGTAACGCCAAGGTAGTGGGTTCGATCCCCGGGACCACCCATACACAAAAATGTATGCACGCATGACTGTAAGTCGCTTTGGATAAAAGCGTCTGCTAAATGGCATATTATTATTATTTATTATTAATACACAACACGATATATCAATCAGTGCCCGGACGGTGTATATAATGTATTAGCAACACTTTGAGTTGGAGTAATATAGCATACTATCTCAAGTTTCAGTCGGTGTCTAGTGCTAATGGTTACGTTTAAGCATGGGGCGTTCACTCGTTTGTGGTCATTTATAAGGTATTTCTTTCCGAACAGTTTCTCCAGAGCGAGGGTGCTTTGGTCTGACGCACAGACTTGTTTTCATCTGAAGGGTCTGGCTGTTCCCGTTTCCTTTGATTGATGAGTTGAAGGAGAGGGTTTGATGTAGGCTACCTTTATTCACCCCTTATTCACATCTGAAAGCAATACATGAGCCAACCGGAGTCGTGTCCTATCCTCTTTTCCTCGCATCCTTTCCCTTCTCACCGAGGAAAAAAAGAGTCCTGACGTGCTGGATGAAGTTTCTGAATCGTGAAATAAAATTGCGTCACCATTTTACCTGATGCAGAGAAGTTCCTCCTGGCCTTTTTTTTAAGACACGTTTATGATTATGATTATTTAGTTATTTGATTCTAATCATCCCGAGCTGGTCATTGTGTCTCCCTCCATTATTCGTTTCTATTTTTAATTTTTTTTGGAGAAGAGACCGGCGTATTTCCATACGGACTTGGTGAGCATCACACACCTCTCTTCCAAGGAGCGAGCCCCACCCGGGCAGCGTCTGGGTCTTGCGTCCTTCACCAGAGATAATTACGTTAAAATCGCTCGGTTTGTTTTTGAGAGTATGTCTGACACACTCCTTTAGCGCGTGGCTTAAAACTCGCATGTTCACATTTTCTATAGGCTTGATTTTTGTCGGTCACCAGGAGAAGACGGGGAGGTAGCCTAAATATATTTGGGCGAGGAGAAAAACGAATCCTTTCGACAATTAGGTTCTTGTTTTTGGGCTATGTGACATCAAACGTCACTGATATTTAATGATAAAACATGACCAAGTACGGATATCGGAAATGTTGTCAGTTTGGAAAACCTTATTTTCAAGGGTTCACGCAGTCAAATTCGAAATCATTTGACAACAACGGTGACAGGTTGTTAGTTGTTGAATGGCCATGATAAAATGACAACGCAATGTTCTGTATCCTCACCGAAATGTGGTATTTGGACTTGATTGCGTAGTGCCGAAATGTTTTTCTGACAGATAAAGAAGATACATTTTATAGACATAACTATGGGGCTGTAGCCGCAGACCGAACAGAAACGCTTGTTGTGTCGTCTGCGCTCCGTGCCCAAAGGGAAACGGGAACGGACTCCGTGTTTCCTTTCCCTTTCCCCCCGGGGTGTTTCGGTTGAGACATGGCAGCTATTGCCAGCGGTTTGATCCGACAGAAGAGACAGGCACGGGAACAACAAGTCCACCGGCCGACGCCACACCGACGGAGGCGAAGCCCCAACAAGAATAAAGGACTTTGTAACGGGAATTTGGTCGACATCTTTTCCAAAGTGAGAATCTTCGGCTTGAAGAAGAGACGGCTACGGAGACAAGGTGTGGGCAGAGGGGAAAGCGCGGGAGACGCATGGACACATACATTACGGTTGTAATTATGCGCGAGGGAGAGAGTAGGCTGACGTTAGCTCCAACGGTTCAATAGTTTACCCCTACATGCATTAATAAAAACAGGTAGTTAACGAAAGTAGCCTAAGCAGTGTGGCCGGTAAGTTTGACCACATTGCTGTTTCATTCCTTACAAATATAGTTCTTGTGATAACGTTGACGCTCTCGTCCTCTTGATAAGGCTTCAAATGACGCCTTTTAATTAGCCTAGGAGTTGTGACTTTTGTGGGGAAATAAAGATTTCTAGCCTAATCTTTCCTTGATTGGTTTATTGCTGATTGCTAGTTTGAGTGAAGGGTTTGAGTCAGACAAAATCGATATTTCAGTTAGGTGTTACATACAGATTAAAATACGTTTGAGGGTTGGATAGCTGTATCAGGTTGCCATATTAAATATCTCACCAAACTTGAAAATATTTCAGTTGGCCATCTTATAGGTATTTATCACAGAACTTGAATTATGTTGAGTCAAAGAACTGAGACTGGTTTTGACATGTAGCCTACTGAATTTGACATATCTTGATTCATACATACAGTATAGCTGACACCACCAATATAAGAGAATTACATTTTTTCCCTCATCAATGACAAGCTCTGTATGACAGTGGGTAACTGGCATGACTGGTCTCAGGAGACGGGGGGACTGACTGTGAGCGCAGCAACCTCAGTCAAGTGACAGCCATTTTGTCAAAGCCAGTGACATTCAGTGCAACCTGTGGCCTCTTAGATGATGGGGTGCATGCATGCAGAACACAGTACAGTCTGAGACACATGCTGTGTGTGTGTGTGTGTGTGTGTGTGAGTGTGTGTGTGTTTGTGTGTGTATGTAGTTGAGAGGAGTTGCCTCAAGCATCCTGTCAAAAATTAAGTATAAAATCAGGGTTTCTTAACCTCGGGGTGAGCAAGGGGTAAGGGGAGTGGGAAGAGGAGGGGTGTGAAGATGAGGAGAGGTGTGAAGGGAGAGAGAGAAGAGGAGAGGTGTGAAGGGAGAGGAGAAGAGGAGGAGAGTGGAAGGAGAGGGAGAAGAGGAGGAGAGGTGTGAAGGGAAAGGGGAAGAGAAGGAGAGGTGTGAAGGGAGAGGAAGTGGAGAGGTGTGAAGGGAGTGGAGAGAGAAGGAGAGGTGTGATGGGAGAGGGAGAAGAGGAGGAGAGGTTGAGGAGGAGGTGAGAGGTTGTGAAGGGGAGAGGAGGCGAAAGCGAAGGGGGGAGGGTAAGGAGGAGAGGGTGGGAGGGAGAGAGAGAAGAGGGAGGGGGGGGGAAGGAGAAAGAGAGGAGGAGGAGAGGGTGAAGGGAGGGGGACCGCGCGGAGAGAGGGGGGGGAGGAGAAGGAGGAAGGTGTGAAGAGAGAGGAAAGAGAGGGAGGGGTGAAGGAAGGAGAAGAGGAGAGGTGTGAAGGGAGAGGGAGAAGAGGAGGAGGATGTGGGGGGGATGGAAATGGAAGAGTGGATGCAATGGCAGATGGAGAGGAGAGAGAAGGATGGAAACATCCCATTTGTTCACCATTCATTTTTCAGTAAGACAGAGAATAGGTAATGTCTGCTTTGATTCCAGAAGGAAGACTGCCCCTCCACTCTTCTCTCGGGAGAGCCCTCCGAGCGGGTAGGAAGAGAAGAGGCTATCCTCTCCCCTTCCTTTCTTCCTCTCTCTCGCTCTCTCTCTCTCTATCTCTCTCTATCCTCTCTGCCTCTCTCTCTCTCTCTCCTCTCTCTCTCTCCTCTCCCTCTTCCCTAGCTCCCTCTCCACATACTTCCCTCTCCATATCTTATGTCCTTCATCTACCATTTTCTCTCCATTGTCTCCTCTGTTTTTGATACAGTATATCTCTCTATCTTTATCTCTTTCCAAATCTCCAGTCTGACCCATCTGCTTTCTGAACATTCTCAACCATCTAATTGAACAAGCGGTCACACCAGCTGTTATCTAGAAGGCTGGAGTCATTCTGATACACTCTCAGCTGACATTTAGGGATCTAAGAATTCTCAGAATGTAAAGATGAAAACTTCTGTGGTATCCCTATCTGATATCTGAGGGAGTTTAACATGGCTACGTGTGTGTGTGTGTGTGTGTGTTGGAGGGGAGGTTTAATCTCTTAATCTTATTGCTCAGAGTGTGATGGGGACTCTCCCTTCCTCTCTCTCCTCCTTCTGTTCCTTTCCTCTCCTCTCCTTCACACCTCCTTCCACTATTCACCTCCACTATTCCTCCCTCCCTCCCTCCATCCCTCCCTCGCCTCTGCTTCCAGCTGTGGTAGCTTCTGGTTGAAGCCTGGCCATATATCCTCAGGCTCTCTCCTCTCTCCTCCCTCCTCCCTCCTCTCTCCTCCTCTCTCCTCTCCTCTCCTCTCTTCTCTGCTCTCCTCTCTCCTCTCTACTCCTCTCTCTTCTCTCCTCCTCTCTCCTCTCTTCTCCTCTCTCCTCTCTCCTCTCTCCTCTCCTCCTCTCTCCTCTCTCCACTCTGACTGTGTGACTGGGTCTGAATCCTGGCGACACACACAAGGTTTTCTGAAGGGCAAACATAAACTCTACTTCTCTCTTTCCATCTTTCATTCTCTCTCTCTTCCTCTCTCATCGGTAATGTTCAAATACTGTCAAAAGCCACCCTCTCCTCTTCTGCTTCTTGAAGTACTGGAAAATGTGTTCTTCCTTCTTACATTCACACCTTCCTTGAAGTAGTCACAAATAGCAGAAATCATTCATTGGTCATAGAATTCCTAGTACATGTATGTTACAGGAACATCCACCATCTGTAGTTGACCTGAGAGCCCATGTAGAATCCAGATATTCCTGATTTAGAGTAGCCTACCACTGAGGACAAATACTGTAACGATTGCTCTCGCGCAACACAGAATCTTATGATATTGACATTTTGATTTATGGCGACATGCATTATTCAATACATGTTCTATTCAATAGATCAATATCATTTTGATGAAAATGATATGGATCCTCATGGGGAGGATAACCGGAGATTAACCGGTGTTGGAACAACGCAGACAAAGACGGGGGAATACCTTCCTCTGGAAAAGCAGACAGGGACATCGGAATCACGAGACTGTATCCATGGCAACCCATACAAACCCATACATAGAGGGAATCCTGGACCAGTATCCCTAGTAACAGACAGGATATGGGAATCTGGGAAAATGTGGATTTCTCCCTAGTAACACACAGCAGGTCAGAGAGGAAGGAAAGAGACCCTCCCTGTTGAAACAGACAGAATTCCCAAAGTTAGTTCCTTCTAAGCTAAAATGTTAAGAAATACAATTCCCATTAGTCAGATTTATGGAAGCTTGGGAATTCTGTATCTGTTTTGGGTCCTCTTGACCAAGTGTTTCCCTTGAAAAGGAGATGCACTTTAGGAAAAGGGCTTTGTTTTTCCCACATTCCATGTCATGTTTGACTCTATGCAGATTTGAACTATGTAATGCTACAGAGGCTCAGGGAGACAAGACCCAGGAGAGTCTAGTTAAGGTACAGATGTGTCTTCCTGATACCCTCACTGTCTCTGAGTGGAAGTCAATGGTCTGGTAAACACTCTTTAATTTAACACTCATACGGAACAGGGTTTCCATAAGGAGACACACACACACAGAGAGAGAGAGAGATACTCATTAAGGTATTAGAGGAAGCCCTGACACACTCAATTAAACAGTGTTTAAATAGGTCTCTCTAAGTGAATCTGTACTGTTGAAGTACTTTTAGAGCATAACCTACACTACTCTCATCTCAGTGACTCCACCTCTATCTCCTCCTCATGTCTACTCTGTTCTCATCTCAGTGACTCCACCTCTATCTCCTCCTCATGTCTACTCTGTTCTCATCTCAGTGACTCCACCTCTATCTCCTCCTCATGTCTACTCTGTTCTCATCTCAGTGACTCCACCTCTATCTCCTCATGTCTACTCTGTTCTCATCTCAGTGACTCCACCTCTATCTCCTCATGTCTACTCTGTTCTCATCTCAGTGACTCCACCTCTATCTCCTCCTCATGTCTACTCTGTTCTCATCTCAGTGACTCCACCTCTATCTCCTCATGTCTACTCTGTTCTCATCTCAGTGACTCCACCTCTATCTCTTCATGTCTACTCTGTTCTCATCTCAGTGACTCCACTTCTATCTCCTCCTCATCTCTACTCTGTTCTCATCTCAGTGACTCCACCTCTATCTCCTCATGTCTACTCTGTTCTCATCTCAGTGTCTCCACCTCTATCTCCTCCTCATGTCTACTCTGTTCTCATCTCAGTGACTCCACCTCTATCTCCTCATGTCTACTCTGTTCTCATCTCAGTGACTCCACCTCTATCTCCTCATGTCTACTCTGTTCTCATCTCAGTGTCTCCACCTCTATCTCCTCCTCATGTCTACTCTGTTCTCATCTCAGTGACTCCACCTCTATCTCCTCATGTCTACTCTGTTCTCATCTCAGTGACTCCACCTCTATCTCCTCATGTCTACTCTGTTCTCATCTCAGTGACTCCACCTCTATCTCCTCATGTCTACTCTGTTCTCATCTCAGTGACTCCACCTCTATCTCCTCCTCATCTCTACTCTGTTCTCATCTCAGTGACTCCACCTCTATCTCCTCATGTCTACTCTGTTCTCATCTCAGTGACTCCACCTCTATCTCCTCCTCATCTGTACTCTGTTCTCATCTCAGTGACTCCACCTCTATCTCCTCCTCATGTCTACTCTGTTCTCATCTCAGTGACTCCACTATCTCCTCATGTCTACTCTGTTCTCATCTCAGTGACTCCACCTCTATCTCCTCATGTCTACTCTGTTCTCATCTCAGTGACTCCACCTCTATCTCCTCATGTCTACTCTGTTCTCATCTCAGTGTCTCCACCTCTATCTCCTCCTCAGTCTACTCTGTTCTCATCTCAGTGACTCCACCTCTATCTCCTCCTCATGTCTACTCTGTTCTCATCTCAGTGACTCCACCTCTAGTGACTCCACCTCTATCTCCTCCTCATGTCTACTCTGTTCTCATCTCAGTGACTCCACCTCTATCTCCTCATGTCTACTCTGTTCTCATCTCAGTGACTCCACCTCTATCTCCTCCTCATGTCTACTCTGTTCTCATCTCAGTGACTCCACTATCTCCTCCTCATGTCTACTCTGTTCTCATCTCAGTGACTCCACCTCTATCTCCTCATGTCTACTCTGTTCTCATCTCAGTGACTCCACTATCTCCTCATGTCTACTCTGTTCTCATCTCAGTGACTCCACCTCTATCTCCTCCTCATGTCTACTCTGTTCTCATCTCAGTGACTCCACTATCTCCTCATGTCTACTCTGTTCTCATCTCAGTGACTCCACCTCTATCTCCTCCTCATGTCTACTCTGTTCTCATCTCAGTGACTCCACCTCTATCTCCTCCTCATCTCTACTCTGTTCTCATCTCAGTGACTCCACTATCTCCTCCTCATGTCTACTCTGTTCTCATCTCAGTGACTCCACTATCTCCTCATGTCTACCTTGTTCTGGTCATTAGTAACGACTAAATAGTAATAGACGGTTAAAGGGATTTTTCACCCCCAAATGAATTGACCAGACGTTTTCTAAGATCTTCTAAAATGTACTCTCAAGTGGTTGAAAGTTGAGCTGAACAGACAGACCACTAGTGTAGGGTGTTGGTAACCATTCCTCCCATCACACCCCTGTTCCTGGTGTGAAAGATGGGAGCACCCGAAAACTGGAAAATACCTTTCTCACTCTGTCTCACTCTTTCTCTATTTCCCTCTCTCGCTATTCTAAACTGGGTCAGTCTCGTCTGCAGTTATAGTCTATCATGTTCATTGGAGCATACCTTTTTTTCTCTGACACACACACACACACACACACACACACACACCACCACCAACAACAACAACTACTTCAGAGGGGATTCCTGTCACGATCGTTGGTAAGAGATGAGGACCAAGGCGCAGCGTTGCAGACGAACATACTCTTTATTTGTGAAATACACGATCAAAACAACAAAACGATAACGTGACCGTCCACGGTCAAACACAAACCAACTAGCACAAGATCCCACAACTATTGTGGGAAAACAGCCTCTATAAATATGGCTCCCAATCAGAGACAACCAGCCACAGCTGACACTCGTTGCCTCTGATTGGGAACCACTCTAGCCAACACAGAAATACAACATATAGAATATACACACCCTGGCTCAACATATAGAGTCCCAGAGCCAGGGTGTGACAGTACCCCCCCCTAAAGGCGCGGACTGCGACCGCGCCTAAACGTACACAAACCAGGGGAGGGCTGGGTGGGCATTCCTCCTCGGAGGCGGTTCCGGCTCCGGGCTTGACCACCACCCTTCCACCATCCCCCCGTGGCGCCCCTGGTCCGGTCTGGCCCCGCTGGCTGGAGCTGGACCGGACATCGTAGAAGCGGACCGCTTAGGCTCCGGTGTGGAGCCGCTGACCGGTACCTTACCAGGCACCGGTGACCCAGGCACGGGTTGTGCTGGACTGACGACGCGCACCCCTGGCTTGGTGCGTGGAGCCGGAACGGGCCGGACCGGGCTGACGACTCGCACCCCTGGCTTGGTGCGTGGAGTAGGAACGGGCCGAACCGGGCTGACGATGCGCACCCCTGGCTTGGTGCGTGGAGTAGGAACGGGCCGAACCGGGCTGACGATGCGCACCCCTGGCTTGGTGCGTGGAGCCGGAACGGGCCGGACCGGGCTGACGACTCGCACCCCTGGCTTGGTGTGTGGAGTAGGAACGGGCCGGACCGGGCTGACGATGCGCACCCCTGGCTTGGTGCGTGGAGTAGGAACAGGCCGGACCGGGCTGGCGACGCACACCGTAGGCTTGGTGCGAGGAGCAGGAACAGGCCGGACCGGGCTGACGATGTGCACCCCTGGCTTGGTGCGAGGAGCAGGGACAGGCCGGACCGGGCTGGCGACGCACACCGTAGGCTTGGTGCGAGGAGCAGGGACAGGCCGGACTGGGCTGGCGACGCACACCGTAGGCTTGGTGCGAGGAGCAGGGACAGGCCGGGCCGGGCTGTGGAGACGGATAGGAGACCTGGAGTGAAGAGCTGCCACAACCCGTCCTGGCTGAATGCCTACCTTCACACACTCTGTGTGAGGCATCAGCACAGGACGTACAGGGCTGTGTACCCGTACTGGCATAACAGCACGTGACACTGGCGCAGGATATCCGGGACCGAGGAGAGGCACTGGAGGCCACGAGCGCTGAGCCGGCACACTCCGTCCTGGCTGCATGCCCACCTTCGCACAACACATGCGGGGTGCTCGCACAGGACGTACCGGACTATGCCGGACCACTCGTGGCACAGTACGCAGCTCCGCATACCCCGGAACCTGACCAGTCTCATGCTGCCATGCCTGAGTACGGGGAGTTGGCTCTGCTCTCCATCCAGGCTCCGCCAACCTGCCTTCTGGCCCCCCAAACCCGGTGGCCTCCTCTCCTAATCTCCCAATACAACCTGTGGCAGCCTCCTGCTGCCCAGTCGCCCATGCCGTGTGCCCCCCCCCCTAAAAAATTTCTGGGGTTGCCTCTCGTCCGTCCGACGACGACCCTGTTGACGCCGTTGCTCCTCTCTCGCCAGGGCCTTAATCCTAGCCCATGGCCCTTTGCCCCCGAGCATGTCCTCCCAGGACCACGATTTGCCCACCTGGGCCATCGCCAACCTCTCCAGCTCCTTTCCCGGCGCTTCCTCCCATGTCCAGGCCGCCTGCTCCTGGACACGCTGCTTGGTCCTGGTATGGTGGGATCTTCTGTCACGATCGTCGGTAAGAGATGAGGACCAAGGCGCAGCGTTGCAGACGAACATACTCTTTATTTGTGAAATACACGATCAAAACAACAAAACGATAACGTGACAGTCCACGGTCAAACACAAACCAACTAGCACAAGATCCCACAACTATTGTGGGAAAACAGCCTCTATAAATATGGCTCCCAATCAGAGACAACCAGCCACAGCTGACACTCGTTGCCTCTGATTGGGAACCACTCTGGCCAACACAGAAATACAACATATAGAATATACACACCCTGGCTCAACATATAGAGTCCCAGAGCCAGGGTGTGACAATTCCCACATTGCTGTAGAGACTCAGAAGAGGGTGTGGTCTATTTGTGTGAAAGAAAGTGTGTGTAGAGTGTGAGTGTGTGTTTGTGTGTGTGTAGAGGGAGAGAGTGAGAGTGTATGGGGTGTGGTCTACATGTGCAGAGCATCAGATGAATATTAATGTCAACAGAGGGGGAATCCTTCATTACTACAGAGACACAGGCGGGTGCTGTGTGTGTGAGGCAGGATGGTGCTGTCGGTGTGTGTGTGTGTTGGGTCCAACTATTTCACCACTTCATCCATGGCTTCTCTTTCTATTCCTTTATTATTTTCTCTTTCTCCTCAGCCCTGGAACACTCTTCTGTTCCAAAGTCCTTCTTTTACCCTTTCTCTCTCTGTTTTCTATGTTTGACATGTTTCTCTGGCTGTTTTGTGAGAAGGAGTTGGGGAGAAAATAATTAAGTCTCGGGATTGTGTGAGTGTGTGTGGACTGGGTTGCACACACATGCTGACATTCTCAGACATTTCTGAGATGAAGATCTTTTTCTCCTGAGCTCCGGTCTGTCTGCTCACTCTTTTTTGTGAAAACAGACTGATATTGTCATGGAGATAAAATAAACCTGATAATGTAGTCTAGAACTGTCACACTGAAGCCAGCCCACCTTTTAATGATACACTAACTCTCTCTCTCTCTGTCTCTGTCTCTCTCTCTCTCTCTCTCTCTCTCTCTCTCTCTCTCTCTCTCTCTCTCTTTCTCTGTCTCTGTTCTCTGTCTCTCTCTCTCTCTCTCTGCTCTCTCTCTCTCGTTCTCTCTCTCTCTCTCTCTCTCTGTCTCTGTCTCTCTCTCTCTCTCTCTCTCTATCTCTCTCTCTCTCTCTCTCTCTCTCTCTCTCTCTCTGTGTCTCTCTCTCTAGATCCACAGCTCAAGGGCATAGTGACCAGGTTGTACTGCAGACAGGGATACTACTTGCAGATGAACCCAGATGGATGTCTGGACGGGACCAAAGATGACGGCACTAACTCCTGTGAGTCCGCACGAACACACACACACACACAGAGGGGGGTAGATTGAGTGACTGAGTGGCAACCTCCGTCAATCCAGTGACAGCCATTTTATCAGAAGTCATCCAATCACAGATCTCATACAGTACACGTCTGATATAGACAGATGAGAAGTGACACACAGAAGTCCAGATGAACACGGCTCTGTGACTAATGTCATTTCTCACACGGCTACTACACGCATGTGTCAAGTCTCATACACGTCTCGTGTGCCATTCATGAAATTAAGTGTCATGGTAGCTCACATGTATATACTGTATCATTCCATTGTAGTCATGTGTGTGTCACAAATGGTTGACTGAGTATCTGAATCTTATATAGATGCATAGGCTATTGCATACGTACGCATACACAGACACACACACACACACACACACACTCACACACACACATACACACACAATAATGTCTATTCTATCTGTAAGATTTTCAATCCTCTTTATTGTGCTGATTGGTCTCTCAGCTCTGTTCAACCTCATCCCAGTGGGCCTTCGAGTGGTGGCCATCCAGTCAGTCAAGATGGGTCTGTACATCGCCATGAACGGGGAGGGACACCTCTACTCATCAGTGAGTACAGACAAATGCTGATGATGACGTGTGCCAGCCGGGCGGCCATCTTGGTTGAGCTGATTTTCAGAATGTTTAGTAATCTGTTGATTACTATGAAAATTCTCAGTTTTCTTCTATATGCAACTGTATGTGTGTAATTATTTCTGCTAAAACAGATTGATCCAACTATCTAAGGCTGCGTTTACACAGGCAGCCCAAATCTGATCTTTTGCCCAGTTATGGGCAAAATATCTGACTGGTTAAAAGACCAATTAGTGAAAAAAAGACTGGAATTGGGCTGCCTGTGTAAACGCAGCCTTTATATCACTCAGTCACCATACTGATATGCAGTATATTTAGCATCAAAAACCACCTGTCCTGGAGACACACTGAGTTCAACAAGATCCTGGAATCCTTTAGGAAGAATACGTGTAGAACGACTTTTCCCCAGAGGCCATAGTGAGGTTTTATCTAATGGATCAGTATACAGTAGTTTGTGTACAGTGCTGTCTGTCTGACCAATGGTTCACCCTGGGTTCACATGAAGGGGAACATGCATCATGAATACTAATTACTGTCATGACCAGAGGAGGCTGGTGGGAGGAGCTACGGGAGGACGGGCTCATTGTAATGGCTGTAATGGAATCAGTGGAACAGTATCAAACACATGGAAACTACATGTTTGACTCCGTTCCATTGAATCCATTCCAGCCATTACAATGAGCCCGTCCTCCCGTAGCTCCTCCCACCAGCCTCCTCTGGTCATTACCCTAGGTAGGTAGGATGCTTAACCAAAGATATTGTACAGCTGTTGGTTACACCAGAGTGCCAGAGGCTCTGGAACTGAAAAAGGTTAACGAGGCTAACTTAGCTAGTTAGGGCACAAGAAGTCATCTTCTCTTTAGGTTGCAACGTTACATGACTCCTCAGTAAGATTCCTATCTTGAATAGTTCTCAAGTCTTTATGGGGTTGATGATGAATTTATGGGCATGTGACACTAGATATATCAGAAGAACAGTTCCCTTAGTGTTTCTCATTGTGAATTGACCATCATTCATCCTCTTTATTCATCACATAATAATGGAATTACATCAGCTTCTGCTTCTTCTTCGACAGGTAGTGTTCTAACAAGGAGCTTTATTTGGAAAAGACCAGCAGAGAGAGACTGAAATAGAGAGAAAGAGGATAAAGAAAATAAAAGCTTTCCATTAAATGTCCCCACATCCGTTTGCACCCAAACCCTCCTCTCTCTCTCTTCTTGTCTCCAAGGAAACTTGAGGGGCTCCTTGAGAGAAAGTGAAGTGGTGAGAAAGATGGTGAGAGAGAGTGGGTGAGAGTGAGACATGGAGAGAGAGAGAGAGAGTGAGAGAGAGAGGAAGAAGAAGCTGACAGGAATATGAATTATTCCCGACCCTGACACACCAGACCAGTGAAATATCCCTCTTTTCTTTCCTTGTTTTCTCACCGTGTCGGAGCAAGGGAGAGTGACAGGCGGAGAATAGCTTGTTATGCTGCAGAGAGGAGAGCAGCCGGGCGCTTGTTTTGTCGTTTTTTGGAGGAGAGATGTGATGTTCTGTTTCGCTCTCTGTTCAGTTAGAGACAGAGGGATGAGGGCTGCTTTTGAATTATTGATGGGGGAAGTCCTGTCCACACACACACACACACACACACAGAGACACACACACACACACCACTGACTAGGAAAAACCCACTAGTGCAATGCAGAATGAATCAGAATAAGAACAGGATTGAATTTGTATTTTTCAGTCCTGTTAGGGATTTAACCGATATTATCTGCTATTTACCAAATCATTATGTTTTATAATAATACAACAGTTATGTTGCTCTAGTACGTCAAAGAATCCAACACAATTGATAACTACCTGGTACTAATGGTTTATAGAGGCGCTGCTTTGATGAACCACGAAAACACAAGATGGCCGATTGACAGCAGCCCAAAATTAGAATTACAGTAAGCTCAAGAATAGAGTGTTGTAGTGTTACTCCCCCTGATGATGAAGGATCAAGATGAACTATAGTGCTACACATCTGTCTGGTTGTAGAGAAGAAATGAGTTAGAAAGAGAGAGAGAGAGACTGAGAGAGAGAGAGACTGAGAGAGAGACAGAGAGAGAGAGAGAGAGAGAGAGAGACTGAGAGAGACTGAGAGAGAGAGAGACAGAGAGAGACTCATCTCTCTCCATCCGTCTCTCTGTCTCTGTCTCTGCAGTCAACAGATGGCCTGGTGTGAAATGATCTGGTATGTGTTAATTACCAACGATGCTGGGCAAGAGGAAACCAGCGCTGAGTGTGTGTTGATGAGTGTGAAGAACACACACATCTGAGTACTCAAGCACACACTCATGCACACACACAACACACACACAGTTACACGCATGCACATCCGAGTACTTAAGCACACACTCATGCAGACACTCATGCAGACACACAGACAACACACACACACAGTTACACGGACACACATCTGAGTACTAGAGCTCGCACACTGCACACACTCACACTTACGAGAGGGAGAGAGAGCTGTCGATTGATCTCCTAGTATGAAGTGATGTCAGGAGTGTAAATTGGATCTGTGGAGAGAAACCTGCCTGTTGGTTTACACCTTTATAGTAACAAATACACCATACAGTATATACTGTAGCCCTCACCATCAGGTCTTAGAGTCCTCTATGGAGAGAGAACTATCATATCCTCTATATGTTAATATTATGGAGAGAGAACTATCATATCCTATATATGTTAATACTATGGAGAGAGAACTATCATATCCTCTATATGTTAATATTATGGAGAGAGAACTATCATATCCTATATATGTTAATATTATGGAGAGAGAACTATCATATCCTCTATATGTTAATATTATGGAGAGAGAACTATCATATCCTCTATATGTTAATATTATGGAGAGAGAACTATTATATCCTCTATATGTTAATATTATGGAGAGAGAACTATCATATCCTCTATATGTTAATACTATGGAGGAAAACGTGAGTGAGATAGATGCTGTATGTTCCATCTGAGAGGAACATATACTGAACAAAAATATAAATGCAACATGCAACAATTTCAATGATTTAACTGAATTACAGTTTATATAAGGAAATCAGTCAATTGAAATAAATGCATTAGGCCGATATCTATGGATTTCACATGACTGGGTAGGGGCGCAGCCACGGGTAGGCCTGGGAGGGCATAGGCCCACCCACTGGGGAGCCAGTCCCAGCCAATCAGAATGAGTTTTTCCCCACAAAAGGGCTTTATAACAGAAAGAAATACTCCTCAGTTTCATCAGCTGTCCGGGTGGCTGGTCTCAGACGATCCCACAGGTGAAGAAGCCGGATGTGGAGGTCCTGGGCTTGCGTGGTTACACGTGGTCTGTGATTGTGAGGCCGGTTGGACTTACTGCCAAATTATTTTATGGTAGAGAAATTAACATTCAATTATCTGGCTTCAGCTCTTGTGAACATTCCTGCAGTCAGCATGCCAATTGCACGCTCACTCAAAACTTGAGACATCTGTAGCACTGTGTTGTGTGACAAAACTGCACATTTTAGAGTGGCCTTTTATTGTCCCCAGTACAAGGTGCACCTGTGTAATGATCATGCTGTTTAATAAGCTTCTTGATATGCCACACCTGTCAGGTGGATGGATTATCTTGGCAAAGGGGAAATGCTCACTAACAGGGATGTAAACAAATTTGTGCACAAAATCTGAGAGAAATGCGCTTTTTGTGCGTATTGTTGCGGCTTCGAGGGACAAAGACAGAAGTTACCCTGGCCCGTATGCACACACTCATACTGTAGCTCATATATTGGCTGGAGGATAATTACAGTTATTTGTTTATTTGGTGGATAAATACATTAAACCTTGGTATGGCTGTATGTACAGTTGAAGTCGGAAGTTTACATACATTAAATCTCGTTTTTCAACCAGTCGGTTAGGACACAAGTAATTTTTCCAACAATTGTTTACAGACAGATTATTTCACTTATAATTCACTGTATCACAATTCCAGTGGGTCAGAAGTTTACACTAAGTTGACTGTGCCTTTAAACAGCTAGGAAAATTCCAGAAAATGATGTCATGGCTTTAGAAGCTTCTGATAGGCTAATTGACATAATTTGAATCAATTGGAGGTGTACCTGTGGATGTATTTCAAGGCCTACCTTCAAACTCAGTGCCTCTTTGCTTGACATCATGGGAAAATCAAAAGAAATCAGCCAAGACCTCAGAAAAATAATTGTAGACCTCCACAAGTCTGGTTCATCCTTGGGAGCAATTTCCAAACGTGTGAAGGTACCACGTTCATCTGTACAAACAATAGTACGCAAGTATAAACACCATGGGACCACGCAGCCGTCATACCGCTCAGGAAGGAGACGAGTTCTGTCTCCTAGAGATGAATGTACTTTGGTGCGAAAAGTGCAAATCAATCCCAGAACAACAGCAAAGGACCTTGTGAAGATGCTGGAGGAAACAGGTACAAAAGTATCTATATCCACAGTAAAACAAGTCCTATATCAACATAACCTGAAAGGCCACTCAGCAAGGAAGAAGCCAATGCTCCAAAACCACCATAAAAAAGACAGACTACGGTTTGCAACTGCACATGGGGACAAAGATCGTACCTTTTAGAGAAATGTCCTCTGGTCTGATGAAACAAAAATAGAACTGTTTGGCCATAATGACCATCGTTATGTTTGGAGGAAAAGGGGGGTTGCTTGCAAGCCAAAGAACACCATCCCAACCGTGAAGCACGGGGTGGCTGCATCATGCTGTGGGGGTGCTTTGCTGCAGGAGGGACTGGTGCACTTCACAAAATAGATGGCATCATTGGGAAGGAAAATTATGTGGATATATTGAAGCAACATCTCAAGACATCAGTCAGGAAGTTAAAGCTTGGTCGCACATGGGTCTTCCAAATGGACAATGACCCCAAGCATACTTCCAAAGTTGTGGGAAAATGGCTTAAGGACAACAAAGTCAAGGTA